GGCGAATTCAACACAATTCAACCACCTTATAAGGATAGACAAAGAGGCAGCTTTTGGGGGCTTGGTTATTCAACTATGATGGATCAATACAAAGTTTTGCAGAGCTATTATCCGGTAGTTGAATCGAATAATCGATATGTAACCGCTGAGATTTACACCATTGGAACTGGTTCATGGAGGAGCATTGGAAATGCACCAATTGATACTGTTGCTTTGCTATTCAATGCTTTCTTGAATGATGCTCTTCATTGGTTTCCTTGTACTTCTAATGGCAGTGAACTCATTCATACTTTCGACTTCAATTCTGAGAGGTTTGGGATACTCCCGCCACCCGATCATTGAAGTTAACAAATTATTTATGGCTTGGTGTTCTATAAGGGTATCTGTTTATTATTTACTTCACGAATTCGAAACGGTTCGATATTTGGGTTATGAAGGAGTATGGTGTGAAGGAGACATGAACCAAACAGTTTGTTGTTGAGAATTTGTATCCAAAGCAAGGCAGCTGGGATTTCTATGAACCAATGGTTGTTTTGGACAATGGAGAGATTTTGATGTTGTACTAACCTAAGTCGTGAAGATCAATTAGATATAAATCTCTCGTTTATGTATAACTTGATGGTATCTGGTGCAAGAAAGACTGAACTGTTCATGGGGTACAAATATAAAGCTGGAAAAGAAGGTTACTGTGAGGGACTAGGCACAATAGAGATGGCCCCTCACGAAGCTTTGCACACATGGGTGGGGAGCAGCTTAAACCCTGGAAGGGAAGATATGGGTGTGTTTTACTCTGCTGCAAGTAAGGGTGTTCAAATTCAATCCGATCAAAAAAATAATCGAAAATCGATTCAAAAAACCGATAACCGAAAAAACTTGAAACTGATTTAGTATGTTTAGTTTTTTTTCTAAAAAACGATCGGTTCGGTTTTGATTTAAAAATCCGGAACATATTCAAATCAAACCAAACCGATAGTTGCTATCCCTGTAGAACGACACCGTTTCAAATTCCTGACCAAAAACTGAAACCTAGCCCATATTTCCCAATTTACTCCGTCTCTTCTCATCCTCCTCGAGCACAGCTCCTCACTCACAACCCAAATTTTCTTGAGAAATGAGAGGAGAATAGCTCAAGACACTTTTTTTTCATCTGGGGTTTCTGGCATAATCCTTCAGACGAAATGCTTCTTAGAAGATAGTACGCCTACCTGCTTACTGTTCTTATCTCGAAGGGAAATCGTGCAAGGTATTATTTCTTTGTTTCTTACCCTAAAGCTTGCTCTGATTTTTGGGGTTCTATTTGTTTATTTGTTTTGAGATAAGCATGAAAAACCATATGAAAGCCTACACTGTCATCTTCATAATTGAACGAATGGCAGCAGGAAATTTCCAGATCCATGTTAGTATTTCATTCACTCATGGGATTTTGCTCTAAATTTATAAAATCTGTTTTTCTGCATGCTCCTGCAATATTTTTTTCTGGCAGCAGACGTTGAGGATTTATGGTTTTTTTATTGATCCCCATGTTGGACATGTAATCTTTACCTCTTCCGTTCTGGAACACCATGGTCAAGGTCAAGTATCTTTTAAGCGTACCTTAGGATTTAAGGTGGAAATGTAGCCTCTGCCTGAATAGTAATGTTGAGTTGTGGATTAACTGATTAAGCCAACATTAACATAGTAATATTGTAAGTGATGATTTTGAAAATTATATTAGTGTATTGAATGTTGAAACCCCCTACCTGATTCGGCTATGCCCAAATTTGTGCTAGCTAATAAGTGATGATTAATGTTGATCTTTCTTTTATAGCCGCCTGGAAATGCAATGCGCAATGCATAAAATTCACCTCCTCTATAGGCCATTTTTGTCTCTGTTTCCAACATTTTTATCTAGTCTACACATGTACTATGTTACAAAGTAATAAATATAGACCTCTGTTTCTGTTCAACCCATCATAAAAATAATCCACACAACAAGAGGAAAGGAGGGACAACTAGATAGCAATTTGCTTGGGAGAGAGGTTCCATTCCATTTCAGTGTTAATTCCATAATGAAGTAGTGTAATTAGTAACCAAGTCTATAACACACTTAAAGATCAATAATAAACCCATTAGATTTAATATAATAATACTATACCAAACTAAACTACATCATTGAAATGGTTGACGGTGGAACAGCTGCAAGGCAATGTCCACTTTTTCATTCAGGCCCAGCAGAATCACATTGCTTTTTGTTCGGTACATTATCAAAGGAACACCAAACTGAAAAAAAAACTAGGATTAGGATGAAGTATTGGGTTATAGACTTTTTGTTCTGGAATGCTTTGAATTTGAGCAATTGCACAACTTTTAGTAGTGTATTTGGGGTTTAGAATTTGAACAATATGCTGGTTTACTTTTACTCAGAGCAGTTCTAGGCCTGAATGGAACTCTGTTAAGTTTGCTTCTATTTCTTCGAACAATGTTTTCTGAATCAAATGTAAATAAGTTTTTTCTAAAAGATATTTCTGATTAAATTTCTTGCACATCTTTCTTCCCTTGGATATGTGCCATTTGAGATTTGAGGATGTGACATGTTTTGGCATTATGAACTAACAGCTTGGACATAACTTGGTACCATTTATTGAAATTAGTTCAAACTGTAATTGAAGAACTGGTCTAAAAAAGAACAGTGCTAAAACAACGAAGGGCTTCCTAAATATCAAGTTTATCCTTCCCCTTTAAGCTATGTATATCCTGATAATTTATTAATTACATGTAAAAAAAAAACTGTTAAATGAACTGTAATCTAATGAATGGAATTTATTATTGGTTAAAAAAAGAAGAGAAGTAAAAAAGAGAGTTGAAGGTCTCTACTTAGCATTCTATTGTTAATTCTTGTATTCTCCTTGCTACTCTTTATCAAGCAATGTAAGATCTTGCCAATGGTAATTTTATTCTTCCGAACATTTTGTGTGTTTTTGTGCAATTCATCTTGCTGAATGTGGTATTTGTTTTCTGCAGTGAGTTTCACCTCATTCATGAGTTATGCTTATATGTACTATCAGCTTCTCAGAGAACAGAGCTTATACAAGCTACGCTATCTACTTTTAAAGCTTGGATTCAAAAAAAATGTGCTGGCAGTGTGGTTGCTTTGAATTATTTTGAAAAATTAAAATCCAAACCGAATCAAGCTGCACTTAATTGGATCATATCGAATTGGATTTTTTTTAGAAACATTCAAACCGATCCAAACCACAAACATTTATACTTTCGGATCGGATGAATTTTTAACCAAAAACCGATCCAAACCGACCGCGAACACCTAGCTGTAAGGGACCCTATTTTCTTCGCGCACCATTCTAACATAGATCGGCTTTGGGAAGTTTGGAGGGAAGATAATAAACATCGATTGGACATCACTGATCCAGATTGGCTAGAGTCTTTCTTATTTTTATATGATGAGAATTTGAAGCTCGTGAGGGTTAAAGTTGGTGATGTTCTGGATACAATCAAACTGGGTTATTCTTATGAACAGGTCCCCCGTCCATGGTTGAATAAGCGTCCCAACCCTTGCATTCCACCAAAACTAGCTCGTCAAATGTTGAAAACAAAAGAGAAGAACAAATTAGAAATGTTAAGCACCACGGTCGAGCTCTAGACGGTAGCTTGACGGTAAAGGTTAGAAACCATTGGAGGAAGAGGGAGAAAGGAGGAAAAGGTCATATTTGTGCATGGAATTGAAGTGAAAGGAGACACATATGTTAAGTTTAATGTGTATGTAAACTTGATCGATCAGTCCAAAATCAGCCCAAAGTTCAGGGGATTTGCGGGGACCTTCATTCATATTCCGGGGCGCTGCCGGCAAGATTGACCTCAAGCTTGGAGTATCGGAACTGCTGGAAGATTTGGAAGCCGATGAAGATGAAAGCATCTGGGTAACATTGTTACCCAGAACATCAAATTGCAGCAACGTAACTGTTTGAGGGGTTCGGATGGACTAAATCAAATAATTTATATGTCTTAATTATGTTTTGTTTTTTGTTTTACCTCCTAACGTAATTTTTTCTATTCACAAACGTCAGGATTCGATATGTGTAAGATTATCGAACCCAACAGGGGTATTACAAAATGTAATAGTTTCTCCTTAATAATTCTTCAACATATGAAAGGTTCTTTTGTTAAGGTGAAGAAACGTTACAAACTAACAAAACTACATGTAATAGAGAAGTAATGAAAAAATGCAACGTGTGTAAGAGAAGTTATAAAGATAATGCAACCATGTGGAATTCCCGTTGTCAACATTAAGTACTTCAAAGGATTTCTTAACAATGTTAAATTTGAGCTTTAGAATTTTGTAGTTCACTTTTTTTTTTTCTTTTTTGAAACATTTTATCTTTTAAGGTTTTAATTTTTGTTCAAAACAAGCTCTGCTGTATAAAATTATAAATTAACTAATAATGATCAATTCATATTATTAATGTGATATTTTTATATTTATTTAACTGTTGACATAACGTATGCTATATTATTATTTTTTACGATGTGATATATACATCAAATATAGATTAATCGTTAGTCGATTAATGGTTTTTAGAATCTATTTGATAAAAAATTGAATCACTAGAGATAAAATACTCAGTATATATATATATTGAACAAAGTGACCATTTTTATACAAACATTAGCAGATACTTTTATCATTATGCCCTCTAAAATCAGGACATTCTAATGGTGGTCCAAAAGAATCTTATTAATCTTTTTTAAGTTTTTAATTCATCTAATATAAAAGCATGATTCTCAAATATGAGAATTGTACTCGAAGATTAGTTGCATTTCCTTCTCGCAATCAAAGTTAATATTAATTAAGGTGTGTTTAATTCACAAAATGTAAGATAATTCCCATGTATCGAAAGCAAAACTGTAATAATCCAACATCACAACTCTTGCACTTTCCTCTAAAATATCAATCTAAAACAGAAATTCCTAACAACATGAACTAAATCAAACTAAAGTTATTAAAAATTATCAGATGAAGTCCATGAGAAAGAAAACAAGGAATCAAAAGGGAAAATCCCATCACAAAACACTAAATTTCAATCTCCTTGAAGCTTGCTTACCACGATTCCCATGGACTCCAGAGTCAGATTCATCACTATACCACCCCACAGATTTCTGAGCCTCCAGCACAATCTGTGAAATACCTGAAAAAAATAGAAATAACAATATCAGTGATCTAATGCAGGGATTAAATCATTATTTAAAACAAAATGAATATTTTTAAAGAAAAAATGGGTTTTCTCGCAGATCAGAAATATATAGAAAGAATCATGAAATCAGATACGGAAGAAAGCGTTGGAGAAAGAAGGGGATTATAGAACTTAATTTTGCCTTCTTAAACAGTAATCAAATGCATGAACTCAATCGTTCTTCAAAACAAAAATAAGAAATTTAAATAAAAAAAAATGCTATTTTACAGATCAGAATTTTAAAAAGCCAACGAAAGGATAGAGAAAGAAGGGGATTCAAAAACTGTTTTTAGTTTCATTTTGCCTTCTTGAACGGTTTGTTTGTTGTGGCGGATGTCGTGGACGGTGGCGGAGATCTTCCAGTAAAGCGGACGGCCGACGTAAAAGAGTGCCAAGAGGAGGAGAGCCACCATCACTATATGGAACGCAAGCCTTGGTGTTGATGAAGCCATTGATTAGATCGATGCTTTTGCTTTCATTTGGCGGAGAATTTGATGATTTATTCTTGGGAAACTGAAGAAATTAGGATTGAAGTGTCCGAAAAATCAACAAAATAAAAATAAAAAACAATTAGAGGGAGTTAATCCAGTGATGCAGGAGATTATGCCACGTTAGCTTTGAAATACCCCCAAAATTTGAAAAGCTTGTAATAAAACTCAAATAATCCGAAGATATCCTTGTACTTCTTTTTTTATTTAAAAAGGGTATTTGAGTTTTTACATTTTTCAAAGATTAAGGTAGTTTCGGATTATTTTATTTTTAATGTGGTCTTAAATTAAAAAAAATATTTAATATGGTTTATTGACCAATGAATTTGTCATTGACTTACGGTATTAACGTAATATTTTATAATATTAAAGCGATATTATATGATACTGGCGTGATCATCTACGGTGATTAATGACATAATACACGACTAAATTTATTTATTTTATTGAGTTTGAAAACTAAACCGTTGACTATATTGTACGTATAAATATGTTAGTGGGGGTGCATTGCAGTTTTGGAAACTAAAATCTGGACGGCTAAGGCATTTTAGGTTAGGGTGATTGGTTGGATATGTCTCTTGGATTATTTATTTATTGGACTAAATTTATTTAAATTTTAAAAATTTAATTTTATTGAATTTTTAGATAATTTAAAAATAAATTTAACGATTCGTATCTAATCCAATTATCTAATTTTTTCTCTGATATCTATATGAACTATCTGAAAATAAAAAAAAGAGTCTAATTTTATTACCCTAGGCCTCTAGCAAATGGGAGTGAATCCTCCAACATGGATCCTATAACATAGACGAATAACCTTTTTTTAACTCTTCGTTGACTTTTACAGTCATATAATTTCAAAAATATAAGGGGCGTTCCGAGAATCGGACTTGGGTCCTCCCACCCAAAGCGAGAATCATACCACTAGCTCAAACACCCTATTGATTTTATTTTTTAATGGAAAATATATAACATTTTATTTTGATATGCACTTGAACATCTAAGAAATCAAGGACAGTTCAGGTTATAAGTTAAATTTTACTATAAAAGAAACACCAAGTCACGATCAAGGAATCAGTGTGGACGGTAAAAGCAATAAAGAAATCCATCTTGCATTCATATCCTGAAAAAGAAACAAACTGGTTAAAGTACAACTTCCACAAGCTGGTTCATTGCTCATTGGACCTAATGGTTTGTCAACAAAATGCACCTCGTAGGTTGAAAGTGCACGAATACTATCCGAGACATTAGGCACCATAGCAAAAGTAGTACTATATTACAGATTTAAAACTGCATGTAACGTACGTATATAGACTAAGAAGACAAATAATATATGCGTACATGACATACAGTTTTAAATATCAGTTTCATTTATCCTTTTAAGTTTAGTACCATCTGGTTCTGCCTTTGATTTTTGTTCTAAATATTTAGACATAAAAATTCTGATGAAGAGAGTAGAACTTTGGTTTATATATGCTCTGATCGAAAATGCTAGCAAGTTGATAAGTTTAATACTGATAAGACGATTAAGTTACTTGATCTTCGCAATATCAGTACTGCAGTCCACATCTTAATTTGATAGCCACTAGTAACATACTCTGATTACTTTTGTGGATTCATGAAATATTCCTATTTTTCTACGATGTCTTGAGAACTCATTGAGTGGCCTCAACCTCAATGAATAAAAGGGAGTGTTGTTCTCCTTACGATCCTGGATTCGAGCAGCTGCGTTTGCAGAGTGTGTGAATATTCTCAATAGTTAAGAAAGATTATCAACAAATACTACCTTATAATCACCCGATACTATTAAAAAAGTACTAGATTTTTTGGGTCATTACACATTATATGTGTTTGTATTGTTCCATTGTAAAATGGTTATGTATATGTATTATATGTGTGTGTGTTTATGCTAAATCTATGTGCAGTATTGTTGATAGTGTGCTTATTGAATTATGGTTGGTTGGTTGTGAGTAGATAGTTAAATGTGTATACCTAAAGATGGTTGGTAATTGGCATTTGTAATTGATATTTTTTTTAGAGATAGTTATAGCTAGCATATTCAGAAAGACATTATAAAATAAGTTTTTTCTTTCTTTCTCTCTTTTGCCAAGACCTAAATGTTGAATGCTTGTGTGTTTTGACTTGATATGAATATTGTTATGAAGTATTTGATTAGTTTAGGTTGGTTGCAAATTGCTTGCGGAGTAGAAAATGCATATATGGTGTGGTGTATCAAGTATTTAAAGCTCTTAAATGTCACACGAACTAATTTACCTCAGTGGTTAAAGAAATTATTGTTGTTCCTAGAGGTTATGGGTTTGAGCACTAGTGACTACAAGAGTGATTGGGAGCATTCATTGTCAAACGGTTGAGAGTATAATGTCACGTAGTGTAATTTAGCCCCTTATATTTTATATGTATGCTAATTTAGTACCTCAAATTTTGATTGATGAATGTTTTGAATCATTGAAAAGTCTCTGATGTGGCACTTCTGACATTATTTATGATTGAATCGAGTTTAAAGTGTTAATTTTATTAGTATTATTACTTGGGTTTACTTTATTCTAAGACCAAATTGAAGTTCATTGTGTATGTTTGATTCAATACATGTCACTTTTAGAATTTGTAATATGTTATTGAATTGTGATTAATGCAATCAAATTTTCCAATCGTTACATTACCTCCCGAGCAAGTAGCATTTACAAGAACATGTCTTCTATGTTTAAAAGGTTCATTGACAATTCCTCCCATACCTCAATTGATAAGTTATCTTACTATGTAGTCTATTTACTCTTTCATCGGTTTAGATGATGGTTATCTCGACACAAAAATATGCCAATAAAAATTATTTAGTCAAAAGGCAATGTTGGTTCCTTCATCTCAAGCAGGAAAATAGTCAGTGGAGAAATATGTCTGAGAATTCAGTTGGTTGTCCCATTATGGTGTTGAATACATCAATAAAGAAGAAGACAAGTGAAGAATATTCGTCGACAGGTTGAACAAGGGTCTATGACATTTGTTTACAACTCTAGGTATTAAAGACTTCCAATAACTTATTTATTGCAACCAAATCTGCTCTGAGAAAAGAGCTAGTGAACCTTAAAGTTCTGTTTAGTGAGTCTCAAAATCATTGCTTCGTTCCCTTATCATAAATGAACACGAGATTCTAAAAGACTCTCTCTCTCAATCTATTCCTTCTTTGAAATCAAAGCAATTTAGTAAGCCAACATCAATGGCTAAATCTTCAGTGACAGGTACATCAATGGTACTATAACAGAATCGAGGATTCCTCTGTATAAACATCAATGGTACTAGAAGCGAATCCATGTCTCATATTGATTTTCTGGTTGCTAAGTTCTAACACTGGTCCGGAATCTATCGTAAATATCACTCGGACAACGTTAGTAGCAAGGAATAAAGTTTCATTGCAGATGGTGGTTGTTAGACACAAATATTAATCAATAAGTGAATATTATTATTTAATCGAACGAAAGAAAATAAATGAAAAATTAAAACAGAGGAACAAAATTGTTTACTCGCATGTAGATGAATAAGTAGAGTCAGATAAATAGAAGAATACTTTTGTTGAGGTATGAATGAAAAGTTTCCTTAAGACAGATTCGTCATTTTCTCGGTATTTTAATAACGTTGGATGTCGATCTCCTAGGATACAACAACAAACGATCACAGAAGTAAGGACAACAACAATGATTAGTCGAACACAATCTTGACTTTTTCTATCACCAGAAAGAACAAATTTAAAAGGAATTTCTCTGTGTTTTTCCTATTCCAAAGTTCAAAGTTGTAACATATGTCTCTAAGATTCGTGCCTCAACTAACCTATATATAGTAGAGAGTAAATTAATCAAAAGTTAACCATTAATGAATAGAATTGTTGAAAAGTTAATAGTTATAATTGAATAAATGCAACTTTTAATAAAAAAAATAAGTCTATTACCAAATGACATGACTTTTTATTAATAAATTTATTCACCATGACATAACTTATTATTAATAAATTTATTCATGACATGACTTATGACCTACTTACATTCAAAAGTAGATATACTCATATATCAAACTATAACATCATTTTTTATTAAGCTGTGATAAATATAAATAGTATATATCCAAAGATAACTCTTAATATTTAACATTGATTGCTTGTACTCCTGACATTTGATACTCGAACCCAGGACACTAAAGAAATAACAATAATTCATTGACTACCGAGGTTATTAGAATTCGTGCATAACATCATATTTAATTAGTATTTATTTTATCTAAAAAATAAATTATATATATATATATATATTTAGGTCGGATCGAATACGAATTTTAACCTAAAAATCATATCAAATTTCGGTTTAGGTAGAGTCTTCCGAAACTCAAATCAAATCTAGTATAAATGAAAAAAAAATTAATTTTCAAATCAACTTCAGATGAACCTAAACCTCTACCCAACACAATACCGTCACTACTCATATATGACATTTTTCCCATTAAAATCCTCACTTATGCTTATGTGAAGGTTGAGATGACATGATAAATTGAAATTTATTAATCATCTAGATGTAATCTAAATAAACACACTCAAACATATTTGATTAAAACTTTTTTAATCTACTAAAAAAATATATTGATAGCTCATCATGTTTTAGATTAGAAATGACAATTACATGTTTAGTTATAAACGCAACACCATTTTTTATATAGAATAAATACTAGATTAGGTTATATTTATGTTAAATAACAAATAATGTTTAGATTGCATAAAATAAAATTTTACTAATAATAATAGAAGCACGAACCCTTGTGATCTCGATGATAAATGAATTGATGTTATTCCTTGAGGTCCCGGGTTCGAGCATCAATACCAGGGGTACGAGCGATCGATCTCAAACGGTTGAGAGTTATATTTAAACAAATACTACTTGTAATTACTCCATATTAATAAAAAAATAAACATAGAAAATTGGAGGGATTAAAAGGAAAATCACCCTCTACAAAGAATCTAGCGGCTTCCATATGAGTGGGCAAATGGGAGTAAATCCTCTGACATGGATCCTATAACATCGATGAATAACCTTTTTTTAACTCTTCGTTGACTTTTACAGTCAAAATATAAGTTCCAAAATATAAGGGGCGTTCCGAGAATCGAACTCGAAACCTCTTGCACCCAAAGCGAGAATCATACCACTAGACCAAACGCCCTATTGCACTTTACTTTCAATAGAAAGTTAGAAAAACTGTCATCTAATGTCCACTTGAACATCGAAGTACTCCACCAGTTCAAATGATAAGTTAAATTTTACTACAAAAAACACCAAGTAATGGTCAAGGAATCAGCGTGGACGATAAGAGCAACAAAGAAATCCATGTTGCATTCACATCCTCAAAAAGAAACAAACTGGTTAAAGTTACAACTTCCACAAGCTGGTTCATTGCTCAAAGATATTGTTGTAATCATTTTGACACATTAATACAGAAGTTCGAGATAAAAAGTACTTAAGCATTTAGTTCCATCTAAGTAATCAAGACTTTGTGTCACAATCCGGCAAGACCTTGCAAGGTATTGTCCACTTCACCTCATTGGACCTAATGGTTTGTCCAAAAAATGCACCTCGTAAGTTGAAAGTGTTGCGAATACTATCCGACACATCAGGCATCATAGGAAAAGTACTATATGAGAGAGTTAAAACTGCATGTAATGTATGCATATAATGCGTTATAAAAACAGCATTAGACTTCTTATCTTGCTAATCAAAACTAAGAAGAAATAATGTACCTGTACCGTTGCAATATCAAGTTCTCAGAAGCCTCTTAGCCTTAGGCTTAGCAGCAATTTATCTCTTCAGTTTGCTGGGAAAACGGAATCTGATTAAAGAACTTAACTGATCCGCCAATGGATTTAAACTGTAACATTAGTTCCTCCTTTTACCTGGGCCTTCAAAACAGAACCAAAACCATCCACATGCTCTAAAATTAATGCCTCTGTTTGGCAATGAGTTTTGTCCATAACCTGCTCTATGTTCTATTCCCAGTTATCAAAATCAGGATGTACAATTTCATAAGCCCAGTTCCTAAATAGTGCCTCAGGATCCGCCTATTCCAGGTAAGTTGGCATACTCATCCTTCCTACCAGTAGGCTCTGCTTTTAACTTGGGAACCCATAATTCCAAATCCTCCGTAGCAAGTATATATTCCGATGGGAAGGAATAAGCCCTCTCACATGTATTTTCAGAAACGAGTTTATGTCAATGTTCTTAATCTCATCTTAATAGTTCGGCAAACCATCCTCATCGCCATATGGTGCTGTTATTCGACCAACAAATACTTTTTATGAGAAATGTCAGCATCAAAATTGTAGAACCCTGATTCTGGAATTTCAAAGGATTTTGATGTTGATGCTGGACGTGGAGTTCTATATAGTCCCTTTACTGGTGGCTTCATTATCTCTGAAGCACTTGAACATGGACCATTAAGTTGTCTTCTATCAACATCTCGCTTCAAGTCATTGGAAAAAACAATTTCTTCAGGCAAAGAAGCTGGTAAGAGTTCAAAGGGAACTTTGCTACCTATTTTCTCTCATAACCATTCAGTACAAGTGATAGAACCTTGGGGGAACCTGAATAGTTCATTGGGTGGTATTAAACTCCATCCTTCCTCGTTTTACAGAAGATACTCCTAAAGCCTTTCACCGCAGTTAAACATACATGTATAACCACAATCTTCAGCATCCCCTGCTAGCATTTCAACAAATTCAAATTTGTATTTCTGGTGTGCACCGTTATCAGACTTGGGTTTGATATTCCAGTTCTTAGAAAAGGTCCAAGTTGGTCTTTTTCATGGAAATATCCTGTAGGAATCTCTGGAAGTTCCTTTTTTCATAGCAAAAAAGGAAAACACAAGGCAATCTTCATTTTCAGAGTGCCCATATGTAATCTTCAATATTTGAGTTTCCTGGTCGGGCCAAGACAAAAATGAGCTTAGGCAAGTAAAATAGAAAATGGATAGGTTTGTATCTCTGCCTGACCCAACCCATGGATAGGTCTATTTCCCACCCAGTCCAGTGACACCCTGGTTAATCCACACCTTTTCTAGGTTGATAGGCATGCAGTTGAAGACTCCCACAAAACCAAGTTATCTGAACGGCAGCACTCGCACGTACTTGCTCAAAGCCTTCTATTTTCTTTTTGATAGTAGAAACATCCTAACTACTATCTAAAAAATGTAAATTGGTTTCTTCCAAGTGTTCAACAATATATATTATTCAAATGAAAACTATAATGGATTTCTCATTTCTGATTCAAGAGAGTTTAATATCTTCTGCAACTCTTCCCTATATGGGTGTGAAATGCAACCTGCAACAAAAACAGTCACCTTATTTTTCACTTCAATCCAACTATAACCAGGCATTTTCTTTATCCCTTGATCCACCATTGCTCTCCTAACAATCTCAGCTTCCTTCCACTGACCACTAGCACAATACAAGTTCGATAATAACACATAACTCATATCTTTTTTACAGTCTATACTATTCTGGAATTCATACCCAACACTAACCCCCATCCCGACATCACCATGAATGGAACATGCTCCTAGCAAGGCTTCATATGAGCAGCTTTTAGCCTCAACTGTATCATTTTCCAAGTATTTACTAGCCAACTCTTTCGCCTCTACTAAGTATCCACCTCGGCCAAGCATATCCACCATGCATGCTACATGATCTATCTCGTAGGTAAGACCATAAACAGTGCCCATCAAATCAAAAAATAAACGACCTTTATTGACAAGGCCAGCATGGCTACAAATCATCAACAAGCCTATGAAGCTAACTTTATCTGGCCTCATCCCATGTGCCACCATATCATCATAGACCTGTAATGCTTGAGTAGACAACCCATGCATTCCAAACCCAAACAACATTGCATTCCAAGAAACCAAATCCTTGTCAAGAATTTCATCAAATGCATAGCTTGAGCCTTTGATATCCCCACATTTGCATACATGTTAACCAGACCATTGCCGACATAGACATAGGCTTGAAATCCATATCTAATCACATAACCATGGACCATTTTACCAAAACCAAGTACTGCCAAACTAGAACATGCATGAAGTATAGCTCCGAACGTGTAGTCATCTGGGCATATACAACTCCTCACCATCTGAACAAACAACTTGAGCTTGTTCTCCTTCCCCATTTCTTGCATACCCTGCAATCATACTTGTCCAAGAAATCACATTCTTCTCCGGCATGCGTTGAAACACGTTAAAGGCTTCAAAGGTGTTCCCCATTTTTATATAGCCATCAATCATGGCATTCCAAGACACTTGATTGAGTAGCCCTACAGATTCAAACTCTGTTACAGCAACATCCATGCAACCAAGTTTAGCATAAAAGCTCAAAATTGAATTCTTCACTTCCACAGCCGAGCACCAACCGGTTCTAATAATAAAACCATGCACTGCACGCCCATATGCATATTCCAATGATTCGGTACACACATTCATTAGAGAACTAAAAGTCCAGTGATCAGAGTACAACACAAACTTTTTCTCATTTCTTTAAGTAAATTAATACACATTTCAACCTCCCCATACCGAGCAAAACCCGAGATCATAATGTTCCAAGCAACTAACACCTTTTCTGGCATGCCATTAAAGGTTTTTAATGCAATATCAAACTGAGCAGAATTAACATAAGCAAATAAAAGGGAACACCAAGTTACTTCATTTCTTAGACTTTGATCCATCTCTTGAAACACTTTTCTTGCACTACCGGGATCTAAGCATTTCCCATACATATCAATAAGAGAATTGTTAACAGGTAAATAAGATTGGTACCCGAAAACAATGATTAATGCGTGGGTTTTTGTGCCATTTCGAAATGAGGCGAAGCCCGAGCAAGCGTTTAGAGTTGATGTGAAGGTGAAGTGGTCGGGCTTCGCGTTGGCAGACCTCATGAGGTGGAAAAGGGAGAGAGAATCTTTGTGAAGACTCAGTTGAGAGTAGCTTGAAAGCATTGCGTTCCAAGTGATTGAGTCTTTGTGAGGCATTTCGTCGAATAGTTTGCGAGCGGTTGTGATGAAGCCGGATCTCGATAAAGAAACGATCTTGGTCGTCAGTTGGTGCAGATTTGAAGGCATGTCTCATATTTCAAAGCATTGGAAGTAGTGGTTTATTTAGCCTGACCTCTATGTTTAGCTGCTCAACATTTAAATAGAGTATATAAGAACTCTTTGGAGCTTCCACTTCTTATATTAAACCTGGGTTCATCGGTTGGACCGCTCAGCCTGGTCGGTTTGGATCTTAGATAAGAAAATTTTCAATTTGGGTATCCGAATTGACTAAAAATATATTAAATTAACTTTAATATTATTTTTAAATAATAAAAATTATAAATTTATTTTTCGAAACAAAAAAATTAAATTAATAATTAAAAAAGCATAAGATATTTTTTTAAAAATATATAAACAAATTGAAACCTAACGCCTCTAGGACTACACAAACAATAATGGTTGTGCCACTAAGACTAACGTCTATCACACTTACACTCTAAACTCATGTGGGCCTAGTATGTCATATTCAACCACTGACGCGATCATTCTTAAAAAATTTCTAAAATATTTCATCTCGTAAATATTAAACCACAAGTGTCGTGAAAATTTGAAGCTTTGAATAATAGTTTATAAAATATCTTCAAAATAAATAAAGGTTTGCAGATTGAACACTAGTAAAAGTCCTATGGATATAAATGGCCACTATAAAACCCATAATTGTACCCTAAAAGCAAATGCTAGAATCATCGGATGACGATGCTTCACGAATCATATCAGATCTATTAATTTGTGAATGAAAATATTCAAACGTTGAGCTTCACAAACTCAATAATGTAACACTGATACGATATTCATATTATGAGTGTTATAAATACAAGCATGCGAATATGAAATCATAACAAGAATATGCATATTCAAATATCAAGGCATGACATACTTACCATCAACACAAGTCTCAAGCTTTTCCTAGTCTACAATTGAGGGCCTAGCCATGGATATATATGCATCATTATATCATCCCTTGATCTCATTTAGTGTCAAATATAAGCATATAAATGATCTCATAATATCCATCGAGATCGTGTCACTAAGGCCAAAATAGTATACACGTGTATGATCAATATTATCATTAAAACCACAAATGTATCGATGGGTGTTTGTATTGTTTTCACAATTGTCATTAAGGCTGCAACATTGTATAGTATTGGATTACCACTATAATTATGATTCTATATATATATTGATTAAGTAAAATATAAGAAACGCCAAACGTCACTAAGACCACACAAACAATAATATTTTTGCCACTAAGACCAACGTCTAATACACTCAAGCTACTAAGGTCACTTAATACCCTTACATCACTAATATTACTCATCGGGTTCTAAGCCCGCAAATCAGAGTCTCGTCTTTAGGTAAACCATGATTTCCAGGTAGTCCAATTTGGACTTCATTAAGTATCATTATTTTTTGGATATTTTCAATATCAAGGAAACTAATACTTTGTATTAATTAGTCAATACAAAAATTAAATATATTATTAATTTAATTGGTATATTAATAATTTTATTAACAATTGACTGTAGATGATGACTTGGTTAAAATTAAATTAAAATTTTAATTAATTAATTGATATTTTTTATTCAATAATTAAAATAAAATGGGATAGTAATTTAATGGTTAATTTACAATATTTTCTAATGCAGCGCGGATCACGTTAATATAATGCAACCCCCTGCGCATGTATTAACGCAAGACCAAAATCCAAAAAGAAACAGTCAGTTTTTTTGTTTTGTTTTTTTTCCTTCCCAATCTTACTTTGCCAAGTCAATGAGAGATTACACAAATGGTTGGAATTCAGGAATTTAAGCTTGTAAGGTTAAATTTGAATCTCACCACCGTCATTCTTGATGGACAATCTGTAAAGTCATATGTAAATCTCAATTAGATTTTAGGTATACCCTAACCCTGAACTCTTGACCTAAACTTTTGTGTATAAAAAAAATCTTACTACACCAAAATGCCAACTATTCTCTCTCTCTGCTTAGGGTTTCCATTTCCGCCATGACAATTCTTTCTTGACCTTTAGTTTCACTCACATTGCATTGGAATGAGCGCAATGTTTTGATAACTATTTGAATTCCTAAAATTTCTCCTCAATTTAGTTTTTTTTCCCGATATTTTTTGGTATAGATCGAGGTTAGTTTATATTGTTTATTTTTTCTATTCTATTTTTATAGGGTTTTTTTGCTATTAATTGAGAGCTCTATATTTCAGCAGTGGCATTATTATGGTGATTTTATATGGCGTTGCTTATTGTAGTTTATAGATTCTGGCCTAGATTTGTGCATGAGGGTGCGTTTGGTTCACGGAATGTAAGATTTTCTTTGAGAATAACATTATTGGAATGTAACATTACCTGATACATTACTGGGAATGTTACATTACTGTGTTTGATTTGTTTGGCATGAATGTAAGATTACAGTGTTTGGTTGATGAAATAAGAGATTACTTAAACGTATATTTTACCAAGTTGTCCTTGTTCTATATATTTTAACAAGTGGAATTCTATAAATATTTAAATGAAAATATTTATATAAAAAATCATCGAAAATATATTGCTTTATTATCTTAAATTTATATACTTTTTAATAAAATTTATATATAATTTTTTTATAAAATTTAAAAGATAAATGAGTACAATAAAAGAGTAAATATATCATGTATTATTTTAATTATAAATAATATTAATTTTTACATTATTTATCTAAAAATATATTAAAATTTTACATTAACATTTCAGTATTTTCGGAGAAGTGGGTATTGGGGGATCGTATGAGATAATGATGGAAGGTCCCTAAAAAATTCTCAAAATCAATTGGGTTGCTAGATCCTACAAGTGTGTTGCTTCCTTGCATCTTCTCTATTTCCTTCAAATCAACATATTATAGAATCGAATAGTAATCTGGTTGTTTCATTTATTAATTCGCCTTTTTTTGTTCCTTCGTGCTTCAAGTTGGACAATCTTTTATGCCACCATCTTTGTACTAAGTTCTCATGGAATATCCAAGCAATTCCTATAGATGTTAATGACGAAGCAGATGTTCTAGCCAAAAATGGGATAAGGTCGCTGATCAGTGGTCGTTTTTTGGGTATCCTAATGTTGTTACTTGTTATTCTGTCTCATTTGATGGACATTGCTATCTATGTTGGTTGTTTTAGGAGGTAGCATATTTCAAACTTTTAGCTATGGGAAAGGGTGATAGAGGCTAGGTTGAGAAAGACTACTAGGGTTTCGGAAAACCAATTTGGCTTTATGCCAGGCAGGTCTACTACGGAGGCGATTCATCTACTTCGACGGCTTATGGAGAAATATAGGGAAAAAAATAGAGATCTTCACATGGCGTTCATTGACCTTGAGAAGGCGTATGATAATGTTCCCCGCGATACGATCTGAAAGACCTTGGAAACGAGACGGATCCCAACTGCTTATATTCGGACGATTCGTGATATGTATTGTAGATATACTACATACGTCAGGACTACAGTTGGCGACACCGAGGCATTCCCGGTGGAAATCGGACTCCACCAGGGGTCATCTCTTAGCCCTTACATATTTGCCTTGATTATGGATGACATCTATTGTGCGACACCAGACGATGTTCCATGGTGTATGCTTTTCGCTGACGACATTGTCCTAGTTGCTGAAACAAAAACTGTGCTGAATAGTAGACTAACTACCTGGAAGACTGCTTTGGAAGAAAAAGGTCTAAGGATCAATATTGAAAAGACAGAGTATTTATGTTCAAACTTCAGTGGGAACCAAAACAATGAAGATGTAGAAGTATGTATAGAAGGACACGTTCTCCCCTCAAATGATTGTTTCAAGTACCTAGGGTCTATGATACATAAAGATGGGGCTGTAGATGATGACGTTACACACCGTATAAAGGCAGGATGGCTAAAGTGGAGAGCTGCTACTGGAGTATTGTGTGACAAGAAGGTGCCTCTAAAACTTAAGGGAAAATTTTATAGAATGACAATAAGACCAGCGCTGCTATATGGATAAGAATGTTGGGAAATAAAGAAGGATCACGTAAGGAGGATGAAGGCCGCATAAATGAGAATGCTTCGATGGGCATGTGGTAGGACTCTGTGGGACATGACACCAAACTCTGCAATTAGAATGTTCTTGGGGGTAGTGCATGTATCCAAAAAATTGAGGGAGGGAAGACTATTGTGGTTTGGGCATGTCCTTAGGCGACAACCGTCAGATGCGGTCAGGAGGGTAGAGTCAATTACAGCCGACGGTGCCAGAAGGAGAGGACGACCAAGGAGGAAGTGGGTAGACTACTTGAGATCTGATTTGAAGGATTTAGCCCTTACCGAGTACATGACCTCTAATATGAAAGTATGGAGACTTAAGACCAGGGTAGCCGAGTAGTGTGGGTCACAACCATAGGGTGTAGCATTCCTGTCTTCTTTTTAATGCATTTGTAGTAATTTCCATGAATTCTACTTTTTATACGTTTCTGTCATTGGAATTTATGAAGGCTTAGAACTAGGGTAGCGGAGTAGTGTTGCATTAGTTTAGGTTTTAACCCATTTGACTTTATTCCTTATGTAGCTTGCTATCGCTGACTTCTGTGTATCATTCTCTTCATGTTTCCTCTTTTTAAATTTATCCAGGTCTTACGTTTCTGTCTATATGTAGAGATTTTTTCTTAGGGATTTATTTGCAGGGATTACTTTCCATTTCAGACGCGTATATAAAGACTGCATAAGAAGACTGTTCAACTATGTATTTATTTATTTATTTATTTATACATGCATTGTATTTTATCTTTATTTTTAATTTTTTGACTGCCGGAGGTCTTCCACGAAAGCTGCTCTCAACCTGGTGTTGGGGGCAGCCTTCTACCTTACCTTCTTTTATCCCATTACATATGGGAATAGGGTTTTGTTGTTGTTGTTGTTGTTGTTGTTGGTTATCCGTGTGAATTCATCGCTAGTGGAGTGTTGCTGCTTTGTTTTTCTTATTCACTGCTCCAGGTTTATGTACCTGTTATGTTTAAGTAAGGTTGTCTGCTGTTTGTTTTTTGGGGCTCTTAATCGAGTGTATTATGGCTATGATCTATGGCTTGCTCTTCTTTTATATTTACAAAACCTGTTGTATTCTTGATACCCAGTAAAGTAAATTAGGATGCAACATTTATGAGGAAACACTGGGAAGCAATAAATTTAGTCTTCAAATAGAAATCTCAAATGAGATAAACTGACAGCGAACACTAGCAGGCAACATGTTCAAGTAGAATGAAAAGCAAAAGTGAAAACTGAAAGATAAGAGATAAGTTTACATTATTTGTTTAGCTTACAGAACAAAACTAAGTATAACATTAACCATCAAAAGCAGCATCAATATTCAGACTTACAAAAGATAATAGGCATGACACTCTAACTTAAGTATATATGTTGGTTAAATTATATACTCAAAAAATTCTCCAAGTCAAAAGGTTGACATATACCTGGTGAAGCAAGACAAAAAAGTTGGGACCATATTCTAAAGTCAAAATCAAAAAGAGATCAACATACTTCTAGAAGGACCAAAGTCAAAAGGATGGTCTAAAGTAATGGCATTAAAGTAATTGCTTAATCCATAATCTTTTTTGAATTCTTTTGGCAAAGAAAGAAAGAAATCTACTTTGTGCGCATCTTTGTTAATATACTCGCATGCAGTAAGCATTTCATCATTGGAGAGGCCTTCAATTTTCATGATTTATGTGAAAATTGACATTCTTCGATTATTTCCTTCTGCCTCCTTTTTGAATAATGCAGTAATATCCTTAATTTCTTGGGCAGTTTCTCGGTATGCAACACCAAACTTACTTATCTCCTGTACAAGTTTGAATAACTCATCATCACTTCGAGACCTTTTCTTGCTAGCTACTTTTTCATTGCAGGGATAGAGGCAGTAGCATCAGATGTTCCCTCTCTTGATTCAGAATCTCTTACTCCCTCTTCTTCAACTAATGCATCTATAAATGCATTATCTTCTACATCAAGATGTTCCACTACATCAACTACTGTTCATGTTGCTCTTTCTTTTCCAAATATTTGAACAAAGTCGTCAAAGAATGGAAATGACTTGTTTCTCAATCCAGCAGAAGTTGGATGACTCTACAAGATAATAATAAAATCTTATATTTAATAAATTTTACAATTACATATGTAGATAACAAAGACCACAAAAAGAAGATAAATTCAATTAAAAGACTTACTCTAACCCAATCATCAAACACATCTTTTGGTGCATTCAAACATTTTTCTTCTTCATTCCAACCAAATCCACTTCCAATATTAAACATTTTTGATAAAACATTGTATTGCCTTTTCAGTAACTTCACTCTATATTCAATATGTGGATGGGCCCTAATTTTTTATGTCGGAAGCTTGATTTCTAACATTTTTTCAAGATGAGATAGATAACCTGCTCTAAATATTCCATTATCAGCTTTCCAATGTGGGTCTTCTGCCAAAATGTGTAAGCATTCAACAAATGCAACATCCTCCTATTTAGTCCACATCCTTTTAGTAACAATAGACTTAACCTTTCTAGCTGTTCGTTTTTCCCCCTTTGAGATTTCATATTTGATGTTGACATATTGCACTTCAAATCAATCTAAGAATATGCATATAAAAAATGTATAACATAACTTAAAACATGCCATCATTATCAATAATAATCATAAATGAAATTTAAAATAGTAACATAAACTAAATTAAATGTAGTGAATGACATAATATGTAATAAATGTCCATAACAAAGGCAATTTAAATTTTAAAGAAAAGAAATACATAAAATTTAATAAAGTTAATGGCATAAAATATAAAGATGTCAAATACATGAAATTAGTGACCACTAACATTAGATAAAATACAAAGTGACAATTCATACATAACATAAAATCAAATCTATCCTAAACTATGTGACACCAACCAACTAGTAAACATATCTTGTGCTAATTTGTCTCTCCACTCACTCCAAGAAGTGCTTGGCTCACAATGTCTGATCATTTCTACCTCATAAACCTCTTCAACATGCCTACTATCTTCAGTATAGTTAGATTCAATAGGATCAATTAGCATCTCAAATCTTATGAAATTATGGAGAAGACAACAAGCGAAAATGAGTCTACATTGTTTTTTCACTGGATAAAATGATTTTCCCTTAAAATTGCCCATCTCGCTTTCAATATGCCAAAACATCTCTCAATGCAATTTCTAGCTTGAGAATGTTTCATGTTGAAATATTCTTGAGGGGTGGTAGGTTGGTGTCCTTCTCTCCAATCATTCAAGTGGTGTCTTTGACCTCTATATGGTGCAAGAACTTGTAACACCCCTATTCATTTATGTATACAGTATCACATAAGTAGTAACACCCTATATTATTTTAATTTAAAAAGTGAATTAATATACAAAACTTGTAAGAACTTTACATTCTTTTATATATATATATATATATTAATGACCTAAGCATTTACCTTGTGGAACATTTAAACCATTTCTTCTACTAATGGCATCTCTGAGTATTTTACCATCAGTTGTATAATCTTCCCACCTAGGTAAAACATAAATGAATTGTATGTTTGGGGTGCAAACACCAAGTACATTTGTCGTAATTTCATTTTTTCTTGTTCTGTACCTAGGTTTATCGATTGAAGCAACATTAACCTTAATATATGTTCCATCTAAAGCACCCAAACATCCCTATATTCATAATATAAATTTAAATTACATTATTAATATCCATTTATGTATTAAATTTTATTAATTAACTTAAAAGTAATTTCAGAATTATGATACAATACCTTAAACCATTTCCATCTATCGTTTGTTGAATTCTCTTATATCGGTTTTGGTTTTCTAAAAAGAATCGGATGCAATTTCAAAATTGAAGCTAAAATTGTATGGAGAACTCTACTAATTGTTTCACCAGATCTGATTGTTTGACGTTTTAGAACTCTATTCTTAATATGGTGGGATATAATATGATGGAAAGTAATAACCATTTCTTCTATAAAGATATATTGACTCTTTTTTAACCCACCTTGACTTTGTAATAGGTGACACAATTTGATAAATGCTCTCCTATCCATTCGACAATTATTAACACTTTGTCTATCACTTTTAAATACAATTTTATATAAATTAAGTTATCTAATATTATGTCTATGAAGTCTTTCATGTGCATAACTTATTTTAGGTATATTTTTATATTTTCTAAGAATAAGTGAAATAACCATAAGCATATGACACACAATCTCCATCATTTACAGTTTTAAAATAAGAATTATGGCGATATGCGTCTTCTTTCGCATTAATAAGCGAGTCATAACTGTTATTATGAACAAACATTTTAATATTACAAAATAATAATATTGAACAAGAACAATTGTTTGTCATAATAATAAAAATAAATGAAAACTAATTTAACAGTTCTGAAGTAATTAAAAATAGAAATCAAGATTTTAACATAAGCTTAGAAAATTAAATAAAATCTAAGAGCAACTAATGGTAGACTTATGAAGTAGCTTGGTGAATTTGAAATATAAAAGTGTCACTAAACTTTGACAATATCAAGTGGTCCTAAACTGGTCAAATATAAAATGGAGGTCCTTATAAAACTTGAGGTTAAGTTTTATTGCTTGACATTTTTGGGAGTTGTATCATTATTTCTTTCTTGTCTATAAGAAAATCTTCTAACACTACAATTTCATTAATTTCTATAAGAAAATAATTTCTCCAATTTTTCCTTTTCTTCTCTACAATCTCCCTGTGTTCTTTTTTACTAGAGGCCAATCAACACCACTAGGTGGGGTCGATTATAGAACATCGAATGCCTATGTTAGCAATTAGAGTCAATGCAACTACTAGGATAGTTGGAGCACAAGGAAGCCAATCAACCCTCCATCCCGGTGGGTGGCCCATTTTAGTGCTCTATGGTAATGAGGAAGTAAATTGACCCCCTCTGCCACCCAAAATGTTAAAATCCAAAAATCTAAAATCTCTCTCTATACGAAACACCTCTCAAGGAAATTCTTAAAATATAATTCTAAAAAAATAGTCCTAAATTTCAATTTATAATCCCAAAAGTAAACCCAAAATCAATCCAGAAAACTCATCACTATCCAACGCATATTAGTAAATACCGTTCACATCCAAAGAAAAATTGGGTTTTCGTTTCAACCTAAGCATTGTTTTTATTCATGTCAACTTATAATTTGTCACCCATTGGCAATTAACAATTTAGTTGACAAAACTCTGACAGAAAACATATTAATTATAAGGATGAAAGTGAATATGTAACATTTTGAAACACTGAATCAACACTAAATGCAACCAAAACTTAGGGAACTGCAACTGCAATTTGCTATGTTTTATGCATAATGCATACGAACTTTATTTGATTAGCAATTTGGTTCATATGAAAGTATAATTTCTGCATGAATCAAGTGTAGGATGAGATAAGATCATACACAATATCACAAGTTCAGCATGCATAATGAGCAAATTTAGGTAGTTGAAAAGTCATGATCATGTAATTCAGTAAGGCAAAGTATAATGTAGGAGTTAGAAGGTTGTGAGATATTTAGTGCACAATTGTCATCACTATGCAGAAAGTCATTCAGTCTACTCTGCACCAATAGCCAACCACAATATAAGATGAGAAAGCACAAAATGTATGTGTATGTCTGTGAGTATGTATGTATATTGAAGCAATGAGGCTTTTTTGTCTAAGGCACTGCTAAAACAAGAACAAACTGAGTTGAAACTTTTACATATAATCACGTAAGGATAATCATAGATGAATTTATCTTAGACAATGTGTACATGGAAATGAAAATCCTAGCATGATGTATATAGTTGAGGCATCAGTAAATGAGAAGACTTGCAGTTATTGTGAACTATACCAAAGACTCCTAGTCTACCCAAAAAAGTTTGCTCATCGTTTTCCTTATAAACTGAATGAAGGATTGATTTCAAGAAACAAACAAATTTAACCTTAGTTCATATTCTAATGAGTAATCCAAACATAACTTATCAAATAAAAAAAACTTCAAAACATTTACTCATTTTCTAACAAACTAGATCCATTCAACTTCTACCTTATTATCCTTTTCTATGATACTACAACCTCAAGAACAATCTTCCGTTGTACTGAAGAGAATAACAGAAACGGGGAAATTAAGGAGCATAGACATACCACATATATTGCTTCAAGGTGTTGCTGTAGAAGATCGCTCAGAACAAGCTCCAAAACCTTAAAAAATGGGTGAAATTTTCACAAAGGAAAATAAAAAATAAATAAATAAATAAACTGATGAAATTTTCACAGAGGAAAAGATTCAAGAGGATTTCGTCAACAGAAACAAAAGCACAAAATATGGAAACCAAGTAACATTACTGAGAAAATAAAAGAAAGGGAGTGGAGGAGAAATCTTTCGAGGAGAAATTTTATTGGGAAAAAACTGAATTTTTTTCCTGGACATAAATGAGGTCACAAGGAGAAGACGAGAAAGGTTATTTTAGCCCAAACGCCTAGGAATAAATAAAAACCTATGGAATATGTGGGAATGACATTCCCAATAATAAATTTAAAAAAATTATTGTTGGTTCACTGATAATACCCTCAAGTGTGAATCTTTCCCATCCAAATGTGAGTATTGCAATCTGAAAAAAAAAAATTCTTATCAATAATCCTCAAATCCATGATCCAAACGCCCCTTGAATGGTATGCTCACTGGAAAGTGGTAGAATGGCTGTTATGGCTAGGCTTCTTGAAGCAGCAAGCATCTCGCCCAATATAGCAGGTACACTATGATTACTTGGTATGCAATATTGGAATGTGTGTGCTTCCACTATGTTACTCGGATTTCACTGTGAAAGATATGGGTATGTTTAATTTTTTCTCTCTACATTTTCCATGTATTTAGAGGTTTCTTGGAGTGAGGATATCCATGTCTGAGTAGGTGTAGAATGAAATGATACATCATACACAAGTAGTGATAAAAGTAACATCTCAAAATTTCTTTATATTTTGTTGTGATTGTCATATTCTGAAAGCTTTAAGGTAGATAAAGAAACTGTTTCATACAATTGGTGTCTTCTTTCTTTTTGAGAAACTCTGTAATTATTACACCTAAGTAGGTGCTTGCTCTGCTCCACTACTTTTGTTTATCCTCGAACATATCCCACTTTTGATTCATGTACTTGATTTTTTTTATTGTCTCTCTCTCTCAAGCTTATGATTATATATGTAGAACTTTGATTCATTTTTAAAATAGTTAAAAGAACATAAGCATGTTATCAAATTTATGCAACTGCACCTTAAATTTGACCATTACCGCTTGAACTCGGAGGATGTGTTAGACTAATTTAATTCCTACTTTTTCAAACGATTTGGATATGATGGCCCAATTTATCAAACATCATGATATTGACATTGTCGTTGACTGTTGGCAGAGGATGCTGTCAATAAAAAATTAGCTGCTCAATACATTTACAGAGAATTACGTTGGGCAGATGATGAAAATTTACTTGATGAAGAAGGTGATGCCTATGTTCTGACTAATGTTTCTTTTGTTGGTCATTCAATTTAATAATGTTTCTCTTACGCCAAATTATATGGGGTTATAATGTTGTGTTCATTGTTTATGATGGCATGCCGGCTTTTATCTCACAGATATGCATGTCTTTGGTTTGAAGCCCATGACTGATCCTTAAAATTTGGTGAGTTTATCTGAGCAGACATTTCATTTCTCTTTGATATCATGTTGTAATTCTCTTTCATGCAAAGAGTTGTTTCGGTTTATGCTCTCTCTGATCCATAGCTATGTTATCTTTGCCTATTCATCCCCCCACTATTTGCTTTTGAAATGCTGATGTATAATCTTAATTATGAAATAAATCCAATTTTTGAGTCCTACACAGAGGGAGTTTGGTCACCACTAGGTCCTTAACGTTATCAATTCGTCTGGTTTAAATTTCTCGGTTTTTAACTTCTGTTAATCCACTAACGGTAATATTACATAGCAATTTTAAAATAATAAAAAATCCACATTCATCGGTTGTGTAATTGTCGTGGCAATTTTAATAACATCATAAACTATGCGAATAGTCTCCTTTTTTCGGTTTGACCGACTTTGATCACCGATTCAAAAATTAAACACGCTTGATCTCTTACGTTATCGATTACCTCGATTGTAAAATTCTGTTAATTTATTAATGAAAATCTGAGTTAACAATTAAAAATAAAATTACTTGTCACTTTTTTTTCTCCTCTTTTTTTTCTCAACCATCTTCTTCTTACTAACTCACCCATTCAAATATTGAAATGAAAATGTAGTCGTTTTAGTATGCGTATGCGTGATGGATCCGCTTTTCTCGCTCCTTCACCTGCTTCATATATAATAATGAAGCTTGTAATCAACTTTTCTTCCTACAAATTACAAACTCGTTACACCTTTTCTATCTCTGCTCTCCATTTTCCTCCCAACCATGAGAATGGGCTCAGCGAATGTTGATGTTCAGAAGGTAAAGTTCCATGCCATGAATCTCTCTTTATCATTTTAACAGAGAAGGATTATGAATGAACTCAAACTTGGAAACAATATACTCTAATAAACTAACCATGGCTACAAAATATATATTTTTGTGAGGAATAAGGAGTTTTTCTCTCTACCCAAAACAAATTGTCTAAGTGCCCTGCTCTCGTCTATCGATCCTTCTGATCCCTTGTGGTTTTCCCAGCTCCGGCAGCAAATGTTCGTTGACCGACATGAAACTGTCTCCTGGCAACAAGTACACTTCCTAATGATTTGATATGAGTTAATGCCATGACTTTACCCCTGTGAACATTATGCAGAGTTGGTTAAAATTATGCAATGACCTTTGCTGGATATCAGATGCATCTGATACGACATGTACCCGATTCATAACCATGGATGATTATCTACAACTAGAGGGACAATGTTCATTCATGAAATCAAAAGCTACTAAATGATGAAATTAAGTAAACAAAAGTTGAAATTCTTTGTATTATCTTCTCCTCAATCTATAAAGGCTAAGAGATTTCCCCTGGAAACAGTTACTACCCGAGATGCCTAAAGATGAAACAATATGCAGAATCCAAGAAATCACAACAATTTCTTCAATATATTTAGCTCATGTATCTTCATCATTCAATTCCAAACGCCAAATGCCAAGGAAACAAGATCTAAATCTTCTTCAAACCTATGGAGAACTAAATCCATTCAACAGAAAACCCAAAAAAATCCTAGTGAAACTTATGATCAATTGGGTGGTGTATGAAAACAAGAATAAGCCTTTTTTTCTGTTTGAATTCTAGGAAAGAAGAAGAAGAAGAAAGGGAAGATGGCCAAGCGAACTTTGCAGGGGAAACAAGAAACTGCCAACCAGATTACCATTAAACGGTTTAGGGCAGCGGTAATGGAATAGAGGAAGAAAGATCGAAACAAGTGGCCACAACTACCACTAATTATGTTATAACGGCGGAGGCTGAGCTTCAGCCCCGCCGAGAGCCTGATCATCCTAGCGTGGAACTATCAGGGACTGGGGAACCCCTCAACAGTTCATGAACTGAAGCGGCTGGCGGTGTCGCATATTCCTGACGTAGTGTTTCTTAGCGAAACAAGGTTACGTAATAATAAAGCTGATGATATCCGCATGAAGACAAGTTTGGAAGGAAACTTGGTCTTTGAATGGGGCGAAAATTGTTCAGGGCTCATGCTTTTGTGGAGTGCTGAAGTTAATGTGGAGCTCATTGAGTTCTCTAATAGACATATTGATGTAGAAGTCAAAAAGCTACGGGAGAAGTTTAGGTTCACCGGCTTCTATGGGGAGTGGGATCGAAGAAGAAGAAGGGATAGTGGGCTCTTCTGGAACGCATCAAGAATAAATCCCAACTCCCTTGGCTTGTCGAGGGAGATTTAATTGAGATTCTCACCCTCAACGAGAAAGTTGGAGGCATACGTCGTGCGGAAGGCGATATGGCTCAGTTTCGGGATGCTCTAATCGGCACCGGTTTGCATGATGTTCGACCAAATGAGGGATGGTTTACCTGGTTCTTCGGGAACCATGCTCACAATCATCTTAGGGAGCGTCTGGATAGGTTTACTGCATCTTTGGATTGGCTTCTGAATTCGCCTCAAGCTTTTGTTTCAACCGTGATGACGACTGAATCTGACTATGTCGCTATTCTTTTAAACTCGAACGGCGATGATTTCATCCAATGCTCTCGCAACCGTTATAAACAATTTCATTTTGAGAATTGTTGGGCAATAGAGAATGAATGTGCGAACTGTTGCGGAAGACATCTATCAGATAAAGTAAAATCGCAACTCATAATTTGAGAAAATAAAAATAAAGATAACAAAATTTACGTGAAAACCCCCCAAATAATATAGGGTAAAAACCACGGGCAACGATAAAAGAATTTTACTATGAGAAAATAGGAATTACAACTTCTCTCGATCTACCAAGGAGAAAACAATGATAATTCTCTCTTGATAAAAAAGAGAAAACAACTCTCAAGAAAACTCTCTAAATTCTCTAGTATTAAGAGAAATCTAGAATGATTTGGGATGGTTTTGAAGCTAAATGAGCTAGGGTATTTATAGTTGAAGCTTAAGGACTAATCTTATAAATACGCTAAAGTATAATGACTAAATTGTGATTTTACCATTGTCCAAAATTCAACAAAATCTAGCTTGCAATTTTAGTGCCTACTAAATTTGACAAATTTTATTCAATTTTCTGCAAATTGCACCGAAAGTCATTTTGACTTTCAACAATCTACCACTTCAAGATTTGATTGGAACAATCATATCTTCACACCATTCTTTCTACCTTGTACCATCATGTTGCTTACGTCACTCACAGGTCACAAAAGGATCGACACCAAGTAAATTTATCAGCATTGATTGTCTTCGTCATGAAATCTACTATAATGTCTTTAGTATGGATCTTCTGCATATCTATCGTCCCTTCTTCCACCTTTTCATGAATGAAGTGGTAATGAACTCATATGTGTTTTTTCCTTGAATGAAATGTTGGATTCATTGCTAGATGCAAGGCGCTTTGACTGTCACAAAATAAAGAGACATACTCTTGATTGTGCCCAAGCTCCTCCAATAGCATCTTCAACCAAATCTCTTCTTTACTGGCTTGTGTAGTTGCTACATATTCTGCCTCTGTTGTGGATGTAGCCACAACTGACTATAATTTTGACACACAGCTTACAGCTCCACCAATAATTTTGAACACATATCTTATAGTAGATTTGCTTTTATCCAAATCCCCTTCATAGTCAGAATCAACATACCCATTGATAAGTAAAATTGATCCTCCGTAACATAATGCAACATTTGAGGTCCTTTTGATGTATCTCAAAACCCTCTTTACTGTATTCCAATACTCTTTGCCTGGATTTGCCATGTACCGACTAACCACTCCCACTGCTTGTGCAATGTATGGTCTTGTGCATATCATAGCGAACATTAAACTTCCCACTGCCGATGCATACGACACTCGAGACATCTCCATCCTCTCTTTTTCAATGCTAGGACTCATACTGGAGGATAATTTGAAGTTAATAGGAAGAGGGGTAGAAATTGTCTTACAATCTTGCATGTTGAATCGTGACAAGATTTTCTTCAAGTAATTCTTTTGTGAAAGCCAAATATTTCTATTACTTCTGTCTCGGTGAATTTGCATCCCTAGAATCTTGTTTGCTGATCCCAAGTCCTTCGTTTCAAATTCCCTAGCCAGTGTGCTTTCAATTCTTCAATTGATCTTTGTTGGGTCCTGCAACCAACATGTCATCCACATACAACAACAATATAACAAAATCGTTATCACCAGACCTCTTGAAATAAGCACAAGGGTCTGAATTAAATCTGTCGTATCCAAGGCACATAATGAACGAATCAAATCTCTTATACCAATACCTCGGCGCCTGCTTTAGACCGTACAGAGATTTGTTCAACCTGTAAACCAATTTCTTCTTTTCGTCTTCTTCAAAACCTTTAGGCTGGAGCATGTAATCTCTTCTTCAAGATTTCTATAAAAGTTGTTTAACATCTAGCTGCTCTAGATTAAGTCCAATGTAGCACACATTGCCAAAAACTATTCGAACTGTTGTTAGTCGAACCACTGGAGAAAATATTTCATTGAAATCAATACCTTCTTTTTGAGCATATCCTTTGACCACCAGTCTTGCACGATACTTCTCCACTTGATCGTCACTATTTCGCTTGATTTTGAAGACCCATTTGTTATCAATTGGCTTCCTTCCTTGTGGAAGTGGCACAAGGTCTCATGTATTATTTTTATGAAGGGCTTCAATTTCTTCTTGCATCACCATCATCCACAGTGAAGCATCTGAGCTGTTTATTGCCTCATGGTATGTTGATGGTCATCGTCCTCTGTTAAAAGGCAATATGAAATATTACCTTCTATAACATAATGAGTGCCAATTGGGACGTCTTCTCACACGATCTGATTGACGAGTTGTTGGAGCTTCATAACTCTCTGGTCCTTGTTCATCATGTGCTGGTTCTCCTTCAGAAAAATATCCTTGTTCAACCTCCTTTTCCACATGTATTTGTGTAGTCTCTGACTTTTTAGTGTTATCATCGTCTTCTTTTATTTGTAGTTTATCTTATACAAAGATAACATCCCTGCTGATTATCACTTTGCGGGCAGTGGGATCCCACAAGCGATACCCCTTTACACCATCAGCATACCCCAAGAATTTTCATTTCCTGGATTTTGGATCCAGCTTTGAAATTTCTTGGGAGTTGTACATCACGTACACAATACTTTCAAATACATGGAGGTTTGAATAATCAACTGGTTTACCATTCCACATCTCTATTGTTGTCTTCAGCTCTATTGTAGTTGATGGAGCTCGATTCACCAAATAACAGACGGTATTGACTGCTTCTGCCCATAATGATTTTTCTAGCCTGCATCCCTCAACATTTCTCTTGTTCTTTCTAACAAGGTTTTGTTCATCCGCTCTGCCACTCCTTTTGTGAGGAGGTTTCGCCACTGTGAACTGTCTTTTGATGCCTTCTTTCCTACAAAAGTCATCAATTCTCTGATTGAGTATCTCCTCATCTTTCTTGAAACACTTGATCTTATTTCCTAATCAAGTTCCACCCGTACTTTGAAGTTTTGAAAGTTGAAAACATCTGACTTCTTCTTAATAGGGTACACCTAACATCTTTTGGAATATCATCAATAAATGAACAAAGTATTTGTTCCACTAGGGATGTACTGGTTGCCATACGTCAGAGTGAACCATTCTAGAACACTTTTGACTCTAGAATTGATGTGTTAAATTTAAACCGGCGTTTGCTTACTTGTTATGCAATGCTCACACAAAGTAAGTGATACATTTGTTAAGTCTGGAAGTAGTTTTTGCTCCACAAGGACTTTCATTCCTGTTCTGATGTGTCCAAGTTTCTGATGCCATAACATTCCACGGAACACATTTATGATTTCTTTCCGTATTTCAATCTTGCTTGCATTATTATCCAACAATCCGTAGGATAATAAATTTTTCTTCAGGCCTTTCATGTGCCGCACATCTCGAACAACTTTAATTGTTCCATCATACATCTTCAATTTGATGGTCCCCACGCTAACGATCTCTAAGGTATGATCATTGCAACTATACACAGATCCTCCTGAGATAGGTTCATAATGATGGAACCATTCTCTTCTTCAGGTCATGTGATATGTTACTCTCGAATCAATGAGCCATATATCTGCAAATCTTTTTCTTCCTTCCACGGTGGTTAACGCTTCATAACATAGAGCATCTCCATCATCTGAAGTGTTTGCAGTATTTCCTTGTGGATTGGAGTTTTTATTTAGACTCCAATAATCCTTCTTTAAGTGGCCCTTCTTTTCACAGTTGTAACACTTTAAATTCTTCTTGCTTCTCAACTTCGATCTACCATGTTTGTGACAGCTGCTTTGGTCACGTTCTGTTGATCTCCCTCTCATCGTTGTCAACGCTTCTGCTTGATGCAGATTTACTTATCTATCTTCCTTGTTCTTGCGCCGATTTTCTTCTTGGAGAACATCAGCTGCAACGTCATCGAAGACTAGACTATTGACATTACTGTTTGTCAAGTTGATATGAGTTGATCATACGAATCAAGTAGACTTTGAAGTAGAAGCTCAACATGTTCTTGTTCTCCTATTGTACATCTTAAGGATGTAAGCTGAGAAAATAACGTGTTCTGTGTTTAAGTGCTCCGTCACTGAAGTAGATTCCGACATACGGAGAGTGTATAATTTCCTCTTAAGGAAAATTTTTTTGTGCAACGATGTGGCCTCGCTCAACATTTTCTTGTTCTCCTATTGTATCTTAAGGATGTAAGCTGAGAAAATAACGTGTTCTGGTGTGTTTAAGTGCTCCGTCACTGAAGAGATTCCGACATAAGAGTGTATAATGTCCTCTTAAGGAAAATTTTTTTGTGCAACGATGTGGCCTCGTACAATTTGGTGAGCTGATCTCATATCTCCTTAGCTGTCTTCTTTCCTCGATGCTTGCAATACTTCATCTGCTAATGCTAGATGAAAGTTTTGCCATAACATTCCCGTCCATTTCGATCTTTTGTTGTCGTCTGTGAAATCTACCGGCCTTTCACTGATAGCGCTAGACACCCGTCTTTCCTCATGATAGCATTCATCTTCAATTTCCACAATGAGAAATTTCTTCCATTGAACTTTTCAATATCAAATTTCGTTGTCATAGCTTTATTACGGATAGCTCCCACTATTTCACTATCGTGAATAGTTCTCTGGAACCTTCAAAGAATGAGTATTACCTTCATACTTTCTTATGTTGAGGATCCACCTTTTGGTGGCAACCACAAAGACACTAAGCAGATTACACACTCAAATCTGGCTCTGATACCAATTGTTGTGGAAGACGACTATCAGATAGAATAAAACCGCAACTGATAATTTGAAAAATAAAAATAAAGATAAAGATGACACAAAATTTACGTGGAAAACCCTCAAATAATCTAGGGTAAAAGCCACGTGCACGGTATAAGAATTTCACTATAAGAAAATAGGAATTACAACTTCTCTCGATCTACCAAGAAGAAAACATGATAATTATCTCTTGATAAAAAAGAAAAAACAATTCTCAATAAAAACTCTAAATTCTCTAGTATTGAGAGAAAGCTATAATGATTTGGGATGGTTTTGAAGTTAAATGAGCTAGGGTATTTATAGTTAAGCTTAAGAACTAATCTTATAAATACCCAAAAGTAAAATGATTAAATTGTGATTTTACCATTGTCCAAAATTCAACAAATCTAGCTTGCAATTTCAGTGCCTACTAAATTTGATAAATTTCATTCAATTTTCTTCAAATTGTACTCTTGAAAAACTTTCAACACGTGGAACCATGGTTTTCAGAACCAGACAGGTTAGCGAACCCCATGCTACCGGTTCACTGGTTCAATCGGTCGAACCGGTCCGACCGGTCGGAAGAACCGGACGACGTCATAATTATTTAAAAAATTAAATAAAATACCAAAAATATGTAATAAAAATAATTTTTATATCACAATTCATATTCAAAGCAAGTCATAAGATATATAAGTTAAAAACCATAAAATCAAGTGAACAAAATTCAAATTAACTACACATAATATTTAAGGTAAAACATATAAATAAATATAATTATATAACTATAATTAAAAAATAAATTGGGGCTAAAAAATCATAACAAGATATTGTTTGGTTTAATTTTTTTAAATCAATCCCACATGGATAAGAAACATAGAAGATCATCCTAACTAACTTCTATAAATAATAGAGAATTTGGCATTTAAAATCATAGCCTTTGGTGAGCATTGAGTGAATTATTATTTCACTTCAATCAAGCTCGAATTTAGGCTTCAATCGAGCTTCTAAATTTTTTTTGAGTTCAAGCCTTTTCAAGTTCAAATTTCAATATTATATTTCGAGTTCGAGTTGAACTTGATAATTTTTAGCTCGTGAGTTTGAGTCGAGTTGAGCTTACTTTTAAAGTTTTCAACTTTGAGTCGAGCTCAGCAATACTCAAGTTCGACTTGGCTCGTTTAACAAACGACTTCGTTTAGTTTAATTTAAAAAAAAAACAAAATTGGCGGGTTTTTTTTTACGGTTTTTTCCGGTTTTCAGCCGGTCCAGTTTGAATGGTTTAGCGGTTTCAGCCGATTCACTAGTAACGGTTCAACCGGTCTAAATTGAACCGGACTAGATAACGATTCTCGATTAAATCGGTTAAATCGGTCGATCCGGTCCGATTTTCAAAGCAGTGCGTGGAACTTTCAACATGAACTTTGTCATTTTGACTTTCAACACGAACATTGTGGAATCCACGTGGAACTTTGAGCAGGGGGCACTCTTGAAAACTTGCTTGCATTGGCTTAAAGCTTGATTCCTGGCAGAAGAACTGCAAACTGGAGGCCACTAAAAGGAAAAAGCAGCTCCAGAAGATTATTGCTAGGTTGGTGGAAGAACCGGTTAGCGTTGACAATGTGGATCGCCTGACTGGTGCTGGACGCGACCTTAAACCTGCTGAACAAGGAAGTGTTATGGATGCAAAAGTCGAATAGCGTAGTTGAAGAATGGAGATAGAACACCAGATACTTCCATACGAGAGCTTCTTGTCGCAGGAAAAAGAACTGGATCTGGGGAATTATGAATTCGGAAGGGGTTTGGAAAGATAGCTTGGATGAAATTTTTGAGGTAGCCACTGACTTCTTTACCGGACTGTTCACATCGGCAAGAAACGAAAATTCGAATCGAATTTTGAACTCCATCGAGAAGTGTATTACCCGGAAGTAAATTCAAAGCTGTGTAGTGAGTTACCTTCGAAGAGATCTATGCTACCTTCCAACAAATCAATCCTCAAAAAGACCCTGGCATCGGCTGGCGTCGATGGTCTTTCTGGCAGTTTCTTCGGCTTTTATGGCATATTTTAGGTGATGAAGTTGTTTCCTTAGCCTTAGTTTATCGAATGGGTCGACAAATTTTGAGGAGGTCAATCGTATTGTCATTGTACTTACCATAAAGTTGATACTCCTACTTTTATGAAAAAATTTAGACCAATCATTTATGTACAGTTATTTATAAGGTTGTGTCGAAGGTTATTGTTAATCGCCTTAAGCCCTTGATGCCTCTTTGCGTAGCGGAAAACCAATGTGCCCTACACCAAGC